GTCAACACCACACCTACGGAGACTACCTATGACATGGTGATTCAAAGTGAAAATGGGAAGTGCCGTGTCCCTGTAGTTTCCTGTCGGGTGCGCACGCCTGACGACACTCTCGCATCACGTAGTGGTTGCCAGTGGAAAAGAAAATCAATTACTCACAGGTTGTGCAGCTTTCCAGCTCAGTTCAAGTGGTTTTCCTCTCCGTCCTCTGGGATACGTGCGTGTATAAAAGGTAGGTAGGTGACCCGGGTGTCTGCACTCCCAGTGAAAACTTTCGTAAAGCAACTGTTTTGCTGATCCGCCGACGGCCGCCGAAGACATGAAGCTCTTTCTTCTCTCGCTCACCGCCGCCTGCTTCTGTTTTGTGGCCCAAACGCAGGCAGGCCCCGACGCCCTGGAGACCAGAAAACTCAGAGAAGTCCTGAGCCAGTTGGAGAAAGTTAAAGACAACTCACTGGTCAGTTCACCGACCCCTTTAACTCGATTGGACCGCTCTAATTTAACCAAAAACTCAAGAGTTAAATGCAGATTTCTTCCATTTTTTCTTTCAGAAACTCGATGAGCCGATGATGAGAACCCCCCCAAAGGACATCCAGGTAAGACAGACTGCTTTGTGTATCTGGATCTCGACTCTTTGGTCCTCTCTTAATTACTGCGGTCGCTTACTCACCGTGGATCTCCGACTGGGTCTGGATTACGAACTTACTGTAGGAGGACATCAAATGATGTGTGAAGTTGCGTAAGCGTTCCTGCATTCGCACCAGTAATCAGCTGCGGTTCGACAGAGGCCTATGGTTTCATTTAAAGGCTAAAAATCTACTTTTTCTCCAAACTATTTACATATTTAAATATATGATATTTTAAAGCTGCTTTGAACCAAATGGACAGTGTTTGAAAAGGTAAACCAAGATGAAGGAATAGATCAATAAAAGTAATTTTTTCCCCTTAAAGTCAGCCTGAAATAATACTAATAATAATATACTCAATATTTAATATAATTAATATTTAATATAATTAATCACATAAAGATATGAGTAATTAGTATAATTAATATTAGAGATGTTATATGTTTAATTTTCTTGATTAATAGGAAGGCAAAAGTCCCAGAAAAAAAGCATTTAGTTCTGTTTGAGAATAATTATGTGTTACTTGTAAATCATATTCACTTTTCTTCTTGTCAAGATGATGATCTGAAGTGAGTCAAGTCAGGAGTGCGCTCGAGAGGTTTTTTTTTTCTCTCTTTGGCAGCTTCCGCTGAGTAAAATGTGTTGAGTAATCAGGCGGGCAGCAGACAGAGCAGAGGCACTTCCTCAAAGCATCTTTGACACTCAAAATGTTCCCTCGCACGCTCGAAAAAACGTTTGACTCATTCCCCTTTAAAGTGAGCTTAACGATAAGGATTCCCGAGTGGGTGTTCAGAACAAAACCAGAGTTATGAGACGAATAACTGAATGTGAAAACCCCATCGTGGGAAATAGTACGTGAATCGGTGGAATAAAGGAAGGGTAACCCAGCAGGCTCTCGGCTCATCACTTAGATTTGAGCTGAAGCTGAGTGGAAAGAATGTTTAACGGCCTCATTGATTTCAGTTTTCAGGAGGGAAATCCACTTTCTGCCTCGTTTAAGTCGGGGGAACTTTATTTGGTGGAGTTTCGCTTCGGCTGAAAGCATTATTTGTGCATCACATTGGAAAGTGACATGAAACCAGAAACTAAATCTTTCTTGGAAATGTTTTTTGGTAGAAGCGATGGGAGGAAATGCTAGATTTTTCCCTGAACTTCTACCTGAACTGCATCTAAAACGTCCTTTTTCGGTTGTTTTGAAAGTCTAATCTGCATCATTATTGACTTTTAACCCTATAATGCCAAATGTGTCATTTTTGATACGGTTTCTGAAATGTTTTGCTTCTGAAGTCTTTTGGATCTGAGACTTTTTGCATGATTTAATGGTAAAAACTGTGCTCAAAATCCTGTTGTACACAATCAGATACACCTGATAACAGGGGGCAGAAGACTACACAAAAAAAATAATCTTGACTTATCATATAGTAATAAATTATTAATAATAATGTATTTCTGTTTTTTCTTTTGACATGTTCTGTTGAAAGGCCAAATAAAAGCCGATCACAAATTAAAGATCTGTTTTGTTTAATTCTTGGATCAGGCTTTAAAGGGTTAATTAAACCGAATCAACAAAAGAACTGAGCTCTGAAAATGGGGATCTGGTTAGAAACGTTTGCCCCTTTTGTTTTAGGTCTCGTTGGGTCTCCTGTTGGCTCACAAACGTCTGTTTTCTTGTTTTCTAACAGGACGGCTGCCGTCTTTCAGCCCTGGAATGCTTTCGGACGAGTCTGACGGAGACTTTCAAAACCCCCGAAGCCACCAAGCTTTACAAGAACCTGGGACAGCGCACAACTGTAAGCAAAACAATATCTGAGAGGGAATCACATTTGAAATAACAGCTGAAGTAGAGAGTCTGGATTTGAAACTAACTGAAACTAACTAAGCTTTTTTATCTCATTTTCCCTTTTCAGAGGGTGGGACTGAACGTTAGCAGTACAGAAAATGCAATCCAGGTAAGACCCGGTTGGATACTGTTTTGATCATAGATATTTAAATCTTACTAAAATCCTGGAACTTGCAGGAAAAAACGGCCGTTAGAGAGTCATTTCTTTCCTTTTCCGTAGTCCACCTGCCCAGACTGTGCCCTGCATCCCATGGAGAAAGCCACGGTTTTTTTCGACAGACTGAAGAGCCTCATCCAAAACGTGAGGACACTTTTCATGGGACTTATCTCACATATGAAAACGCCGCCCTGTTTGGGAGTCTAAATCTAAACGTTTTGTTTCTTTTTTTTTTTTTTTTTTTAAAGGGTCTTAAAGAGCTGAGCAAAAATGAAAAAACGAAGACTCTGAAATAACCGAGTAGTTGATGAACGAAGACACTACACTGGAGAGGGCTTCACACGCCTTAACCATGTCTAATTTATTTTCTATTTATTCAATTTACTGTGTTGATGAGCTCAATGAAGCTATAACGAATGTATTCTCAGAAAAGCTGCTTTGCTGCCACCCTGTGGATTTGTTACCGTAGTTTTTTTTATCCTTTTTTCTTTCCCTGAAAGAGAATGTTTATTTATATAATAAAGTTGTAGTTCTCAAAGAATATAAAGTTTATAATGAGATTAATACTATGTATGATGGGCCTTAGTGCAACATGTCTCAGATTAAATATAAATGTACCATCTGCAAATATTAAAAAGACCATAAACATAAAAGGTTTGCTTTGCTGGTTTTTAAGGACACTTGATAATAAGAATACTTCAAATAATTTCATATTTAAGACAAGATTCTCTAATTTATAACTACTTCCACTACAGTCCGAGGTAATAACTATTGGTCACAACTTAATCTGATTATGCTGCTTTAGAGAAACTCCAGTTTGAGCTAGAAATCTCAGGATTTTGCCACTGATTGCTCCAGTCTTGAGAGCTTCTGGCAGCATCAAATCACATCCGAAAAGCTGCAAAAACCTAAAAATTTTTGACCCGAATCAGGTTTTCTTTAACCTTGTGGAGGTTTCTGTCCTGCTGTGGGACTTCAGACTGGAAATGGCCGACTTCTCTCACTGCTCACCCTCAAAACTTTGGCCGTCCGGATCAGGTTTCTTGGCCCAGTAAACGAATCTTTGGCAGATTGTGAAGCTCCAGTTAGCTGACTCCATCCAGGCCACCATCCGGGGGTCTCCATCTGAGAAAGAAGCTCAGATAAGGTCTTCTGGTTCCCACTTTGAGAGGGTCATGTAATTCATAATCATAAATTAACCCTTGTATGGTCTTCGGGTCAAATTGACCCGTTTAAAATTTTTACAATAAGAAAAATGGTACGAGTATACATTTTTTCTACCTGAAACTCAATGGCCTTACCTTATTTTCTGTGATGAACATGTATAAACAAAAAAAAATATTTGAGCACACATGCTACTATACCTCACACATTTACATCCTTCGTATGGTCTTCGGGTCAGATTGACCCGCATACACAGAGACACACAAAAACATGCCCACAAGACACACAGACAAACAGAAACATGCCGACAGACACATACAGACACAAACACACACACACGCATGCTTGTATGCGCGCACACGCACACACACACACATAATGTTGCATTATTATAATCTAAGCAGTGAGAAGCTGTTTGCTCTCACTTTCCCGCACTCTGCACAATACAAGGGTTAAAAAATGAAACTTCACTATGTTTGTTATAGTCAACGGGCTGCAAATGAAGCAAGTAAAGCAAACTAAATTATCGGGAGTCATCTTTAGACTCACGCCTGTCTTGGGCTGCTCATATAGACGGTATTGTGGCTAAAATGGGTAAAGAATCTGAATCTGAATCAGAAATACTTTAATAATCCCAGAGGGAAATTATTTTTGTTACAGGCTCCATAAGTAAAAACAAAGGCATATACATATATACATGTCTATACATATATACATACAAAATTCCTCATAGAAATATAGCTAGATATATACATTAAAAAAAATAATAATAAAATAAAAAAATTACGATAGTGAGGAAATGTGTTTCATTCATACCCGCTGCTATTGCTAAACAGGTTGTCCAGTCTCTGGTCCTGAGTTATATATGGTCATATATGGTTATATATGGTCATCTGATTCACAGTTTGGTCCTTCAGTTCTCACAGAGAACAAATGTGTCTTCAATGCAGGCTTTCATGGTTAACAGTAACTTATAAACTTAAATTAAGACTTCTCCTATTTATATGGAATGTTTTCTTTAAAAAAACAGCCCTCATTTTTTGCTGAACATTTAGTCCTTGTTGAACAAAGTCATAATTATTTAACAAGGCGGGCACGAGGTGGAGACATTAAACTTCCTCGACCCAGAACAAACTATCTAAAATCCACAGTGCATTATAGATTATTATTACAATTATTATTATTATAACCACACCAAGAGTTCAGAACAGAACAAGCTTAAATAATATACTGTCTTCAGAACTACTGCTGATGATATGATGAACTGACCTGTGTATATATGTTGTATATTTCTACTCTTGTTTATGTTCTTATAATTTCCCACTGTGATTTTTATTTTTTATGATCTGTTTATATTGTAATATAATTTCTTCATGTGAGGACCCCAGGAAGACTAGTGGCCATTTATTTGGCAGCTAATGGGGATCCTAATAAAACTAAACTAAACTACTTTCTTTGTGGGCCTCATCCTTTTATAACAATAATTTAGTTTAATTTCCATAAAGCACAACAACAATGGGTTTGTTTGTTTGTTTGTTTTTCATCAGTGGTGTAACTGTTAAAAACTAGAATTGGATAAATACTGTTGGATAATTTGGGATATTTCACTCGGTTTTTTATACTTATTTTAACCACTAAAAACAGCATCAGTGCTGGATTATCCAAGACAACCGAAGTATTTCTATCTAAGCAGCATCTGAAAAAACTAAGGCATTTGTAAATGTTTAAAAAAACAACTCGGGGATTTATTTTTAGGATCTATTTGATTTATTTTTTGCCATTAAACAACTTGGGAACTGTGAAATGGTTAAGAGCTCAGGGTCTCAGTGGTGTAAAAACACACATACATCATATTTTAGCAAAATGAACCCCATTGGTACCTCCTTGGCTCTATATATCCATATGTTTTTTCTTGTTTTGTTGTTTTAGGTAAATATACTTTGACCTAACGTGATCTGGCCTAAGACGGTAAGCAGAGGACCACCAGGCCAGGTGTGTGTGACATCATATAGGAAACGCCTGTAATGGCTTTCAGAGACAGAAAACACCCAAATTTGGGACATTTTTATGCGTTTGTAAAGCAGTGATGATCTCAGGTGTTACGTCCCCTGGCTGGGGCTAGGAGATATACTAAATTATATATAAATTTAGACAGTGAATCGAGTCAAAAGGGCATTTAAAGAGGTTTATTCTGCCATCTTTTTAAAGAAATTTGCTGTAAAGAGTGGTGAAAGCTTCAGGGAGAGCTCAGGCCAAATTAACAAACAAAACAACCCTAAAAGAAAAAGAAAAGTTAACTTGCCTAACTAAAAAAACAAATATACAAACCTACAAAATAACCAACCTAGCAAACACATAAACAGGAGAAAACTGGGGTTAAACACAAAAAAGGCCACTCTCCCCTACAATAAAACACCTGAACAGGTTTACATGGCAGCAAATTATCAGATCATTAAATCCTACAAAGGACCACAGAGGTGTGCGGCGGGCAAACGGCCCACAGGCCCTGAATGCAGCATCACAGGCCTTAAACTGGCTGCTGATTGGACGGAGAATAAAACAGAGCAAGATGTACAACATCCATCTTGGGGATAACCTCAGAAATGATCAAATCTGACCTTTGTTTTAGCCACGTCTTTAAAATATCCGATTATCGGGAAGGAGAATCGCGTTTGTAACTCATCCAGTCATGTGACCGGCGGCCAATCGGTGAACTTCAACCTGAGTCAGAACGCCTGGAACCGTTAGCCAGCCTCTGATGGAAAAGCAAAAAACCAAAAAACAAGTTTTTAAGCGATGCCACGATGAGTAGGTACCAGTGGAAAACCCCGTTTAGGGATTACAACCAAAGGACGACAGCACTTCTCAGTCTGAATGGAAACATCTAGCATCCGTTGAGAGATCGTTTGGGTTTTGTAGAGTTTTATAGACCTGAATCTGTCTCGAGGACCACTCAAACTACTCCAAAAGGTTATAAAAACAGGGCAAATCCTATTTGACTGTATCAGAAACAAACGAATATAACTTTTATATTAAACTTCTGACCATAGATCCACCTAAAAGTACACTGTGTGGAGCTTTAAATAACCTTAACTTTACCCTTTAAAGCCAAATGGGTCATATTTGATTCATACGGTTTCTGAAGTCTTTTGGATCTGAGACTTTTTGCATCATTCAGTGGTAAAAGCTTTGCTCAAACCCCTGTTGTACACATTCAGATATACCTGATAACAGCCAGTAGAAGACTACACCAACATATATTTTTGACTTATTGCACGCTAATTTGATCAAAATAAATTCTTTTTTTTTTCTTCATATGTTGTTGAGGGGCCAAAGAAAGACTTAAGACTAAAAAAATCAAATATTCTTCCTATTTTTCTTGGATCGGGCTTGAAAGGGTTAACCTTTTTTCAAGGGTTGACAACCTGTTTTCAAGAATCAAATGTCACTTTGATTCTAGATTTTGTTTAGGACATAACTATATGCAATTAGTTAATCCCACAGAGTGAGGGAATATCTAATGCTGAAGGACTTGCCCAGATCTCCTAAAAAAGGGCAGTTATTCCCACAAGAGGACGCCGAATGCTGATTGGAAGAAAGTTAAAAAATGAGGTAAAGTGGCAAAAACAAAAAAACAAAGCAGGAAAAACAGCAGCTTCACACTACAGTCTTCATCACAGCAACGTTCGACTTGAATTTGTCACAAAAAATATCTTTTTCCACTGAGTTTTGGGGTTTTCCTCAGTCAAGTGGAAGGACAAACAACAGCAACTCATCCACCATCGGTCCACATCTGTGAGACTGCCCCCTAGTGGCAACAAAAGACCCCACAAGGCAGCTTCCTTTCACAAAAAGTCATTAAACAAGGGCTCTTTTAAAATTTGTCATTCTTTAAAGTTCTAAAAACAATCGTTAAGCTTTATGCTGGCATCATTTAAGAGGTATGCTGCATCATTTCCCTTTTTGAATAAAGCATTACCCTCACTAAAGTTATAATAATTAATAATAAAGAACATAAAACGTGGTTTAAAAAATAATCTTGTAACATCAAGACAAACATGTAACCTTAAAACACTGTTTAATAAATATTCTGAATTTCCTTCCCTCACCACCAGAGGGCAGTAAACAGAGACAGGTCCACCAGGTGAACACTGGGACCTGGACACCAGAAATCCTACAAAAACAATTTGTATATATATTCTAATTAAACTAATAACTGGACAGTTAAGAAAAAGTCCGAATGAGTTTTTTTTAGTAATCGTCTTAATTTTTTTCTGAGTCAGTGAGGGCAGGTGTGAGCACAGATGTGCCTGACTCTGCAGATGTGGGGAGTAAAAACAACCACAGAGCATGTAGTATCACACACCACCAAAAAGTCTCACTATGACAGGTGTAAACATGTTTGTACGTTTGTTTCAACCAGGTGGCCCCACTACAAAACGCTGGACTTCCCAGATGATGAAGGGGATTTCAGCAAAATATGATTCTGGTGCTTCTTTGGAGCTTTGTTTCTACAACCACAGGAAGACCTCGGTCTAAGTT